GGGGGGACGAGTCTTCGCGCGGGTGCGAGCGGATTGCGGGAGGACGATAGTGGAATCGGGGGGCGAGAGGGGGAGCAGGGGGAGTGGGAGAGGAAGGGGGTGGCACGGGGACCGAGTGGAGGATGGGGTGAAAGGAAGTTCACCGAGGCAATTTGTTGTTAAGTCGGAACTCATTTTCTAGAACCCACACCCGACTAATGCCGCGACTGGGCCTGCAGGCCACCTCATTACCAGACCTAGTCAATTTCAATTTAATTTGCCAGTCGGCTGTTTCGCGGAAAGGCAGGGTGTACGTGCGCGCGCGTGTGCGTGTGTATGAGAGATGGGAGGAAAGGGGGGAGAGGGGGAGGGGGGAGGGAGAACGGAAAGAGTGGCGACCGCATAGCTTTTTAATTAAACTGGAAACCGAGGCCGCGCGATTAATCATTATTATCTAGAAAAATTAAAGCTAGCAGCGAGAGAATGTGTGTTTCGTTCGTTGTGTGTGCATATGCCCACCGCGAGCATAACGCGGCAGATTTTCTGCTGTTCGTGCGAGAAGCTGTGTTTATTATGTTGCACAAAAAATGAGAAAAGGTGACAACTCTCGACCTACAATGTCTTGCAATTACACGTGTGATCTTAAAGAACAAATAATCGATAGATTCTACAATTGAAATGAAATGTCCAAGATCCTGGCTAGATCGTATATTGCGAAATAATACCGTAACACGGTTTGCCGACGATCGTCAAGGAAGTTCGCGCGCGAGGCGGACGACTGTTCAAGATGCGAATGAAATTGATGGCTGCCGCACAGAAAAGCACGAGTCCCGGTCGCCGTGTCGATTCGAAATTTGGATTTTTAATCGCACAAAGCGCTAATGAATCCATTTAGTTCCGCGAAAGGGGGGAGGGACGGCCCACTCGACTCTCGCGCTCGATACAGGGATCTTGGATAAACGGACAAACGAACCAAATAATTACGCTAATTAAAGCCGCCCAATTTGTGCTTTAGACAATTAAAGTGCCGAGGGTAAGGTAGTCTAACTCATTAACAGGCGGGGGTCGCCTACACACACAGGCGCGCTCTCCGTGTGTGAATACATCGTTTCGCGTACCCGCACGTCCTTGTGTGTCTCATTCTCTCTCTTATTCCCTCTTGTTAGCGGCAGAATGTACGCGCCACTGTGTGTGGCAAAGGGGCACGCATAATGAGCGAGGGTGCATGGGTGAGAGGGCAATCCGTGAGGGTAGAGGGCGCACTTGCTCGCGAATCTTTTGAAATTGAGGGTCATGCTATATTTTATAACTTGTCGCGATATAATCGAGAATCATGAAGACTTATATACACAATATTACCAACAAATTCATGTTACAATCAAGTCATATGAGGTTTATATCAATTTCATCATGTTCTCATTTCATAGATCGATTTTGATTAATTATTAGTCCCTGGAGATCTCATCCAATTCTCGAATTACTGCTTCATTGCAGAAGGTACACGCGTGTAACGCGCCTTTAGAGACGCTTGTTAGAGCAGGCAAGATTGACACGTTGGTCGCAATTAAAACGTAAGGGGGACCGCGTTCGCGCAAATTGCGTATCAAGTTAGAGGAGTCGGACAAGGAGGGCGAGGCACTCGTATTATCATTGGTGAAATCAACTAATTAGAAATTGCGTAGACCGCTCGTTAAAGATCGCCCTGCCGACCGTAATCGCCAATTACTCTCTTAGTGCGGACTGCAGTGAACTTCGCTCATTAAAATTATTAAACGCCGCGGGCGACGAGGCTCGGCATTTGACGTTTCTACAGAGTGCAGCGGCTACATTGTGGATCGCCGAATTTTTGCGAACCACCCGGCCGTGGAAGATTATAAGAAATATAAATTGCAAATCGTATTTTTTACGGCGCATTCTTTAACGAAGTCCGGTTTTCCTCCGGACATATACATAATAGAACGTAAATTGTATGAATAATACAAGTACAGGAAATAATTAACTTAATATTCAGAGTTAAAATATATTTAGCTGTAAATTTTTCCTACATTTTAAGTTTAAGTACACACACACACGGATTCCGTATGAGCGAAATAAATCTTGGTGCGATCAATGTTTTATCAAAGATATATAGAGATTGTTATTAGTCGGCCGTGCGGCGCGCGATAATATCGCATCATAACAGACGGTGTTCGTTGTCATTCATCATCGGAGCTGAACCGTTATTCGTTAGTTACTTTCGATCAATTACTCCACCAGCACGAATGCCTCATTCAATCTATTAGGATGGAATACTCGATATTTAATTTAATACAACCTTCTGATTACGGTGAAGATCTATACAAATGTCGGAATGACAAAAATTTTACCGCAGCACTTTAATTAACCGTTCCGACTATCACGTTTGCTGCGATCAATATAGTTGTCAAATACATCTAAACTGTTAATGAGCAAGGCAAGGGGCTCATTTCAAGTAACGATAATTAAGTAAAATAACGAATAATTTGCGCGCTCTGTTTGACATTTTTTACGACTGTCATAAATAAGACTCACGGATAATCGAAAATTCTTGCTTGTCATCAGCTTTCCAGAATGGTCACGTAAAACACGCGTGAATAATGATACTGGTAATGGCGTCGGACGATTAAGAGGCCAGAACGAGAGAGAGAGAGAGAGAGAGAGAGAGAGAGAGAGAGAGAGAGGAGGAGGAGGAGAAAGGAGAAGTAGATTTTATGGCTGATCCTCGATCATCAGCTATATAATTCCTTCTATCCGTTCTAGCTGATTGACTTGACCGTCGGCCTCTAATTAGCAATTATGGAGAAATCGAAAATGCGCTGAGCGATTCGACCAAGCGGGATGCATACCTACATATCCCCGCTTATTAAGTTCGCGAACGATCGGCCCGGAAGTAGATACACGACCGAATCGATATATAAAGAGAGACTGCAATTAAAATCTACCACTTCGATTCATTTACGAGACGCCTGACGCCTGAAACTTGCTGAGGAAACGATATCCTTTGATTAGTATCTCGCCCACGTGCGGGACGAGCGATGCGTCTTTATAACGTCTTACGTAACGCGCAAAAGTTTTAATCAATGGTTAATTGGTTTGTAGAAAATAATTGAATTAATAAATACGTCGGAATTTCGAATAACAGTTTCCTAACAATCGTTTTTATTTGCATTTAAAACATACATGGACAAGACAACACGTGTCTCATGATCGATCATCATATTTAATTAATGCGTGAAACACCGTGTATATGACACTTTCTCGAAATGCGCGTCGATTTACACACGAGAAAGTAACAACACGTTTGGAAGCCTCACACATTTCAAAATTTGCGCATTGCTATTTTCTTGCCGTAAAAAGTAGGCAAAATTGTCCGAGCCAGGGCTTGTTTGCATCCGCAGCAGAAGAGAGAGAACGCGCATTTATAATTGAACCGTTGCGAACGATTGAAGACAAACCACAAAAAAATGAAAATAAAAACGGAAGAAAGAAAAAACAACAAAAAGCAGGAAAAACGAGAGAGAGAGAGAAAGAGAGAGAGAGAGGGAGAATAAAAAGGGAAAGATTGAAACGTCATTCGGGGGAGCAATCATCGAGATACTGGCCGCGTGATCAGCTGTGGATCCCGGGCAGATAAATTAGCAATTTAATTATAGAACTGTCAGCCGGTAATTAAATTAATAACGAGAAACCTCAAATCCAATCCGCTCCGTCGTCGTAACAGCCTTATGCGCGCTCTCGGAGTAAAGTCCGACGCAGACATCAATATGTCGACTACCTATATCGCGCGTTTCAAAAGTCGATTTAATTAAATATTCCATTAGCGTTAATTGCGAAGTTCGATTTTGTCAGTAGCACGTATACTGTGACTTCGGGGAACGATTTTATATGGCTCGAGATAGATCGTTAGACCAACAGATCTTTTTACATTTGATGCAGAATTTTCAAGTTTCATTTTTGAATCCGCTATTGAGGATGATGGCCGAGTGTGCGATGTACCGGTGCGTCGGATACGTCGGATGCATCTCCCTCATGGAGGAGCGTCTTACGCCGTCGTGCATTGGAGAGAGATGTGAGATCGTGGCGCTCACTTCGAATCCCCATTCGACATACCTATGTATCGTTACGTAGCTAATTGCTGCATAAACAGCCGACTTTACGAGCCAACGGGTATATGGCTGACAACCACTTCGCAAACATTAACTACCATTAACGCAGGATACGAGCGCATCGTGTCGCATCGCATCGCGGCGTGCCACGCCGGTATTCGAACTCGATGTGTTCCGCGAACGAAATTGTTGAAAAATAATTGTACCGACGCCATAGTCAGACATCTGGAGCGGCTGTTCTTGAAAACACGTTCATCGTGATAATGCGTTTTGTTCAGAATATCGCGATTCATCAGTTGTGCCATGACCTTGAACCAAATCTTAATCAAATCTTTTTGGTTTTGTCGTAGAATGTTCGGCAGCAGTGGTGTCTGCGGGAGTTGTGGCAACGCGATACCCGCGAACGAAATGGTCATGAGGGCTGGCGACTCGGTGTTTCATGTGAAATGCTTCAACTGCAATAAATGTGGCGGTCAGCTCGTCTCCGGCGACAGGTGAGTCTTCCGCTCATGAATTCTTCCTCTTTCTTAGATTACAGTGGATGCGTGTTCTGATAAACTTTTACTCTAATCTGTTTCAATTACAGGAGAAATAAGTGGTTCCAATAAATATATATTCTAATGAAATATGTAATCTAAAAGTAATAAGATCTTGTAATCTAAAAGTTTGAAATTTTAAGAGTTTAGAAGATATTAATATAATTGGGTTTTATTTTAAGATAGTCTTAAGATGCTAATAGGACTTTGGGATTGACTTATGACATCTACAGATTATTAAGACGATTTTAAATATAAGAACCGACTATAACTGGTATTCACATCTTATAATCACATCTTATGTTTAAAATTAATCTTAAGTACTATTTTAAGATGTTATAAACGAACCAGAATGCCGTTTCAGCAAAAACATTGCTTAAGACTATCTTGAAGTAAGAACTAGGAATACCGATTTTATGCCTATTTCTACTAATGTAGATTTAATCTTAGAACTTACTTTTTATCTTTTCCTAGTTCTAAGAATTAGGGCTATATTCTAAAACGTTCACTCTTCAAAAAAAAGATTTTCTATATACTATTAATTATAGTATATGTTACGTTACTATATATTTCGAGTAAAATTTTCCTCGCAGAAGATATTTAGAGTATAGAAAAGAATAAAGAATATATTAAAGTTAATCTACATTAGTAAAAATGGACATTAGTATTCCAATTACATAAGATGAATGACATTGATTTATACTTTAAAAAGTTTATTATTAAAAATTTTATTTACGTGTAAAAGAACTATATATGTGAATATAGGATTTTCTTCAAGAGAAAGAAATGGAAAATACAATTTCTCGATTAATCTTCTATTTCTTGCAAAATATGTCAGTTATAATAAGCTTTTTCCCTTATGTCCTACAGACTTTTATTTTCGAACTAATTAATTTCAATATTCATTTCAGCAAATCACACGAATTCAGACGAAGAAATAAACTCGTTTAAACGACAAATTTATTCTGAGTTCATCTGCACACATGCAGTGTAATCACTCTTATAGAAAACATATTCGTCAGAACACGCATCCACTGTATCCGTATAAGTCTTACTTTTGGACATACTTCACTTGGCAAGAAAGCATGACACGCAATTCTCACGTTTCAGATATTACCTACTATCGGGCTCGCCGATTTGCGAATCTGACTGGCACAAGATAGTGAAATCGTCGAGCGTCGCGGCAGCGGCAGCCGCGGCGGGCGGAAATAGCGGCGCACCTGTTAGGAAAGGTAAGGTCGGCAGGCCTCGAAGGAGCCGCGAATGAGGCGGCAACCCGGTCGGTCGCCCGAAGAAGGTGCAACCCTCTCCGCAGCCGACGCCCCCCGTCGTACCTTCGCCTCAGGTAGATGTAGTGGACGTCGCCGTCGGAGTGGATCCCTATTCGCCGCCTCCGCCGGGTCATCAGCACTATCATCAGTATCACCATCACCACCATCACCAGATGGCACTCGTGCATCCGGGTCTGGCGGCTCAGCAATCGCACCTCCAGGCGTCCAGCTATCAGGACTGGTCGTCTTGGGCTCAGGATACTTGCGATTAGATCCGTTGTCCGTCGTAACAGGACTGTACCCTAAAGGACATCGCGATGAAGAATGAGCCTAATTTGCCTAATGTTGCGTGCCCAGACTCTTCAAGAGAATCGCAAAGAAGGGAAAAGGCCAGCGTAGCGTCTCTTGGAAACCGCCATTGGCGACTCTACGAGTGTACTCTCTGGACTTGGAATCGTGATACCGAATGTGTTTGAACTTGCCGCGGTAATCGAATGTCTTCGTACATGCGGTGCCGTGATATTGAACATAATTGAACTCACCGCGGATACCGAGCGTTTTTATGTTCTGACGTGTGTTGATGTCGAGTGCGTCCAAACTTTACGTGGATGCTGGGGAATCTCTGAACGTCTTTGAACTTGGATAATTCGGAATCGCAGATATCTCTGGGACTTGAAATGCGAACGTTTGGTTCTATAGTGGATGTGCAAACTTCTTTGATTCAAACAAAATAACAAACTCTTTTTGAAAAAGGGTTTGCACTAATGTCGAGATATTGATGTCGCGAATATCGAAAGTATTCTTAAGTTAATTCATTATTTGGACACTATCTTTCCACAAGAGATAGCGTCCAAGTTTTTAATCAGAACTGTTGATCGCATCTGCGATAAAAGTTGAGACGACACTCGACATCACATTGCAGAAGCACTTTCGCCACGAATCCGCCGGTCTTCTTAATAATAATCTTTGCTCAATTGTAAAGAATCGAAGAAAGTTTAAGATACGACCCATCGTGCATCCATCAGCCGCAATAGTATGATGTCAGTACTCTTCTTTAAAATCCTTTACAGTCATCATATTACGATTACCTTGACATAAGATGCGAAATGTAGAATTCGTTGACACTACTTATAACACAACTTGTAACAAACGATTTTTCGCATTTTTGCGAAATATCGAAATATTTTTTCCGTCGATATCATTCTCGAGGTCATTGCTAAATCATTTTGACGTCAAAAGTCTTTATGTTATCTTATTTTATTGTATGATTATCTCAATTTTCGATTTTTAGTCTAAATTTTTAAATTGATAAATATATATTATATTTCCGCGAGCGCGCTCTGTCGATTCTTAGTTATCGCCACTTCGGAGACGACACGCGTTCTTGGAACAGTGTTGCGTGCTAAATTCGATATGTGCGATCAACGAAAATCTAATCGCGCGAGAAAGATGGCAATCGGAAGGAGAGGGAAAGAGAGAAAGAGAGAGATAATTCGACGGCGATCGAACGAGAAATGCGAAACGACGGCAACGTGCAGTTCTGGACTCTTAGAAAATTATTTTTCTTTCAAAATCACCGTTCTCCCGTCGATCCGCCGCCGCGCTTCGTAAACTCATTAGGCAGCCCTTGTTCCCGCCATCGTTAATTGAGTGCCGAGGTGAGACGAACGACACGGAATTATCATTCGAATCCTTCTTGTTAAGCATCCTCTCCCCTTTCTCATTCTTTCTCTCCCTTTCCTCTTTCCGTTTTACTTGCATTTTTATGTTCTCTCTCTTTCTTTCTTGAGAGTTCATCATTTTCGAAATAGCATAATTAATTAATCTCTCTTGGGATGTCACTTTGAATTCGGCAATCTGTTAGTGACTTCTTGCTGATGACTAAGGAGAAATTTTTTGAATTTTGTAATTCGATCGCTGATAATGATTCCAAAGAGAGACGAAATGTCCGGTGACATCATCTTCTTTCATTAAAGCAATAAAAGTTTTTATTCTATAATTTATGTGCATCTTTAACCGCACTGTACTTTCATTAGTCTTATTTTTGCCTTATCACTGATATCAATTAAATCTCTCGTATACAAAACAAATCCTCTCGCTGCAGCTATGTTGGCACAACTGAATCAAATTTTATCGTAATCATAATTACTTCACAAAGTTTCATGTAGCGCAGAAGTAATCGATGTCGTTCTCAAGAAAGAATACAGCTCAATTATTCCTCCCCTTCCCCTCCCCCCCTCTCTCTCTCTCTCTCGCGCGCGCGCGTTTAGCGAAATTCTACATTATGCATTTATTGTTAAAGTAAATCAATAGGGTTGTCTGAGGAAACGTACGTTTGCCAGTAACACACAACGTTACGATAAGTCTAATTTTCGATCGAAAGAGCGTTGATCCTTCGTCGAGATTTAACTTAACGATTCCTTGTTGTCGCACTTCTTAAATACTCGATGTTCGTCCGTCGAGCATTTTCAAAGACGCGTAAAGATAAACGCGTGCTACTGGCACGCGAATCGACACCCGTTGCGCATACCTATACGTTAGTGACATAACTCGCGGCGAGCAAGAAATAACATTGGCATGCAACGGCGTGCCCGAAGCTCAAAGTACAACAGATTCAGAGGCGGAATGAGTTTCGGCGTGAAATGTGTATCATAAGAGCAAAGCCCTGTTACTCGTTTCATTCGTCAAATACTCTCATTTTAAATGACGATTCTCGAGCGCATTGCCACAATCTCCGATTGAGCGTCGCTCGCACTTTGAAAGCTCGCACCGTCGTATTATGATTCATGCGAGCGGAATGCCGTGTACCACGGAAATTTCACGAAAACGACGCTTAAGAGTCATGATGATCCAACGGCTCGTTACTAAGGAATCGCGAATCTAGACAAGCCGGATTGCGAGATCACAATCGCTAGTCGACGCCGCCAAGGATCGAAGTCGATTTCATGATTCTGCAGGCGACGACGCCGACGGAGACGGTAAAAAGCGGCATATACAGAAGTGTACATGTAGATTGGGCAAGAAGTCGCGCTGAAGGATTATGTCAAGGATGCACAAACTCTTTCGACATCGGCTCAGATAGAGAGCAGATTGGCGCTTGTCACAGATCTTCGACCAGACGCACGAATAAATTCCTAAAAAAGAATAATTATCTTAATTCTCATTTTCATTTTATTACTCTCCACATTTTTCGGAGTGAGCTTTCACTCCAAAGAATTTAGAGAGTACATTTCTCGGATATATAAATTAGCAGAAATTTGTGTAAATTGCGACTGAGAAATTTATATGAATCGAACAAAACTTGTATATTCGAAACAGCAACATGCAATAATCGGGGAACAAATTTATTCAGCTCGTTTCTGTTTCTTTTCGTTGGCACATGCGCGTGTCGGATTGGGGTTTGTGCATCGTTGAATTGTGTAATTTAATCTTGTACATAGGGTACATTTTGTATATTGTTAAAAGTTTGTGTGATATAAATGGTTATGTATTTACTATCGAGCGCGAACGGCGAACGGGGCATCCCACGGACGATCGGCCGATACGCGATGTGCCATGGTTTTCCGTGGTCCTGCATCGTCGAGTGCGGTAACGTCGAGGACGGAATACATTACTTACGAAATGTCGGTTTCGCATCGATCCGAAGTTTTGCTCGGCGCCAATAAAAAATCGAATTGTCCCGTCTCGAATGTACATAACATTAAATTTTGCAAATTTTCGTTTTTTTTTTTATTTCCTTCATTTATTCGTTCATTTAAAGTTTTCGTTATTGCATGTGATCTCACGAAATTGTTAAAACGAGGCGTTTCGTCAACGAGCGAGCGATTACTAAAGTCTAATTTACAATATGCTCTTTTCTTCTTGTTTCTGGCTTTTTTACCACTTTTTACTTTTTGCTTTTTTGCCTTTTATCCAGTTTCTTTGTTTTCCGTCGCCCAAGATAAAAGTTGATGAACTTCGGAAGAGACAAGAAACGCGATTATACAAAAAAAAAACAACGATCGCAAAGAAAGAAAAAGACACGAGATAAAAAGTAAGAAACAAGAAGCAAAGAACACATTGCAGATTAGGCTTTCGAGATTCACTCTTCCGATTGATGCGACGAGAGGCGTATTGTCCAAGGACAGTGCGTCGTGAGAGTGACGAGGCGTATCGAGTCGAGCGCGTGATCTCGTGACGGGATCTCGAGCAATGGCAATGGTCGTGAATGAAATAGCGACGCGACGCGGTATTGCGTACCGCACTCGGCAACGCACTTTACGGACCCGGAAGCGAATAAGCGATCGCATCGCGCACGCGAGGAGCACGGAAAGTCCCTCCGCCCCATCCCGCTCCGCTCCGCCCGGCCCGGCCGAATGGCACGCGTGCGGACCGCGACCCCGGTCCCGCGCGCGTCTATAGTTAATTTTGTTATTTCATTAATCTCGGACTCTTCGTAATCGGGACCCGACATCTGTATGTGGTTTCGCGGCCTCTTGTAAAATACAATTACACCCATGGAACACACACGCGCATACACACAATCGTACGCGAACACGATTTATTAATTAATAAAAATCACAAGTTTTTAGAAAACGGGGAAATCCCCACCCGATCATTGATTTCCCCAGTCCCATTTCGCAATCCCAGATTCTCTTTCAGGACTACTGTGTGTGTTCAACGTCGGTGTGTAGCGGGCAGACGCAACGTTAAAATTCCCATTACAATTGTGAGGGTAAGAAGAGAAGAGGAGAATACCCGGTTAATTTCGTTAGCATTAAGCAGAAGGGGAAATCGATCACGAAACTATTCCTTACCGCCCGCTTCCAAGTGGCTGAATTAATTCGAATGATTCGAATGTTTCGTTTCGGCGCGAGGCCGGTTTTCAAGCCGATGCGACAAGACGAGACGCGACGCGACGCAACGATGAGAATGCGCGCGAGCGAGCGACCCAACATTCTCCAGTCGGATAGGTATTTAACGGACGTACACGTGTCCGACCATATTGCGTTTGTGTCGTTCGATAAATAGGTGGCTAAGCAACTCCAACGGAAACCCGTGTTAATTAACGTTGAGTTTCAGGACTGATTTACGTGGCG